AAAGGGGGCATGTGTATAGTGAGGTCAACATGACAAAGATCAAAATATGTCATGCAAATTGGTTTACTTTAGCTGATCTTAAATATGAAGGGCACAATATGTTACTTCCTAATATCTCTAAAGACATCGAGTATAACCAAGAAATAATATTGAACTTCATGCTCAGACTAGAGGTCCAAGGTCGGAATGTGAGGAATGTAGGAAGTTTTCAAATCAATGACAAACTTTTACATTATGTCATTGTTCATATATTAACTCATCGGACGTCGAATTTTGCAAAATTGACACATGAGGATATCTTTATATTGTAGGCATTGAAAAGTAATATTCTGATTAATTGGCCGCATTATATTATGTAACACATGTTGAAATGCAGGAATAATAACATGCATCTTCCATACACTATATTCATAACACATAATGGTTCATTATGACATGGATTTGACATTGGATTCCTTCATTGTCTTGGGTTGAACTCATTACTTTAGTAAAAGAACGTTGAACAAATTAAATGTTGTTTACATGAACGATGTGTGACAACATAGAAGGATCAACTAGGAAGATGAAAATGATGATAAAGAAGAACTTGAAATAACTTAAGATGATGCAGTCGACATTGGACAAGAAAGTCTTCTCCACCATGAACCAGTCTAACCGCGTTCACTCTATCATGATGGTCAAATATTATCACAAATTTGGGGATTCGGGACATGTAAGCAAAAAAGCAGTAGATGGAAAATTGTTTAACTAATCTAAACCTAATTATAAGGATAAGTTTTAAGGTTCATGGTAGAGTTAATCATTTGAAAAAATGATTTGATGACTTCGAAAACTCTTTGCAATAGAATTTATGTATTTATTCGTATACTATTGTATTTATGTTTATTATTATGTATGATCAAAACATTGTGACATCGCATTTTGAATATTTTTTTATTAACTTGACATTTGTTTATCATACATTTTTTTCTATAAATTTAGTATTTAATATGCAATTTATTTTATCTAATTTCATTCTTAATCATATACTTAAATTTAAATTAACTTTATAATTAATTTAAAATAATTTTATTAATTTAAATTACACTTTTATTTCATTTAAACAAATTATATCAATTTTTTTAAAATTAATTTTCAACAATTATATTTTATTATAAATTCATATATTTTATATCAATTGTATTTTCAACAATTAAACTTTTAAATAATATATATCATATCTAATTTTAACATTATTTACATTAATTATATTTTATTCTAAAATATTTATTTAAGATAAAAATAAAATTATAATCTTATAATTTTATCAATTAAATTTTAATTTTTTAATCTATAATCAATAACATTGTTCACTAATTTTACCTTAATCTAACAATCCTAACTTTACTCTCTCTTTTTTTTTTTTTTCCCTTTAAATCCATTTATTTTCACTCAAATCCATCTAGTCCAAAACATTCTTAATTAGTTTTTTCATATGTTCCCATTATCATAAATCGAGTTTGTTATAAAGCTGAAATGCCATAGTTATTGTAACTTTCACAGCTTTGTAGGTAGTGTCTCTTTCATCAACGAGACAATGAGTATATCACTTTCGTGTTCTAATGAAAACCTCAAAAGAAAAATCCCATGTGTTTGTCTGCATCCACACAGGATAATTATGTGTCCACGTTCCACTTATTCTATAAACATTTACATCAAACTATGCAATCTTTCAAATCACTTTTTTTTCTTTTTTTCCTTTTTTATCAAAATCCAAAAAACACCTCCTTGTGACTTTGACATTAGCAAAATTTTACATGCAACACAATACAACGTATAAATCGACAAATTTGTTTCTGGATTACCTTATAATTAATGTCAAATACATTTAGCTGATGGATAAGTCATAGTCTCAAATTTTGAACAATAATAAATATTATTTTCTTTGGTTCAAAAGATAAGCAAATAATAATTATACTTAATAGAATAAAATATCAAAATTTTAAATTAATTTAATTAAATTTAGTGATATTATTTATCAAAATATTTTCTACTCTTATAAAATTGGTGAACGTCGATAAAAGGATACGTGTCAAATATTTTTACGATAGAATTGAAAAATAAGTACGAGATTTGACTTGAAAACAAAAAAAAAGTTAATAAATAAGATTACGAATTACAACTTCAAAAGTGGTATGAAATTAAATATTTTTATTTATGGAGACAATGTTAATACATTTGTAGAAATAATAGAACAATGTATAGTGAAGGAAAACGTGAAATTGGGTGACTTAGAAGATAAGATATAGAAACATGGTAGTGGCAGTCGCTGTTGATGTCCTTCAAAGCATCAATGGCCCAAATGGTTTAATCAACTGACCCAGCTGCCCTGTCATCGCGTAACACGTGTCCTTCTTAAGATAATCAATTCCATTAAAACAATGCCACGTGGTTTCTGGCTCCACCTCTTGTACTATCAAATTCGTAACCTTCAATTTAAAAAGTAACCAAATTAATGGCGTTGATGGAAGAGGAAAACAAAATAATTTAAAAAATAAAGTAAAAACTATTTTTCATATTTTCATGTTTCAAGTTAGAATTAATTTTAATAAAATAACAATTATACTCATTCATATAATATAATATTATCATATTAAAAATATATTATTGATAATAAAATATAATAAGAAAACATATTTTAAAAAAAAACTCAGATAAAACCATTTAACTTCTGAATTACATTCATATCCATGATTAAAGACTCGCACAAACCTATAAACTTTAATTTCTATTATTAAAAACAAAATAAGAGATTCACACAAACTAAACTACAAGATAAATAGGTGGTATTATGGTACTTACATTGCTCTCAAATATTCAACTCTTTTACATATTGAATCACATTAAAATAAAAAATTTAGAAAAATCATAAAAAAGAATTTATATTAATTAATTAATACATAAACTAATTGTAACATATGAAAAAAACATTTTTTTTATATCTTTCTATAGAAAAACTACTTTAAACATGTCCTCGTGTGTACTAATTTGACTCTCTTAAGTGACTTGAATTCAATTTAATATTTCGTGTTTCCTTTTCTTATTTGACCGACAAACATTCTTTGTTTTGTCTTGTAGCACTTCATCTCATGAGACTCTTCACCTAACCAACCCACCATCATTGATTTCTTAGTATTCTTTAATGTACTTCATTAAGAGTAACAATTAAAAATAATATTAATGTACTTTATTATTATCTATTCCTTAAGAGATTATATCTTTTCAAACCCTACTCGTGGCTTAATTATACATGTGCATGTGGCTTTTGGTTTCTTAATCCCAATGATAATTAATCCTATAACTGCCACCATCACCAACTTGGACAAATTGTTTTTCTGCGATTAATTGAGTGTTAACATTTCATATTATTCGTTCATGGGTGATATATTCCACCTTTTTCATTTCCATTGGCTTTCTTTGACTGGTGATCCCTAAATACAAGATTAGCAAATAATATATAGCAACGAAATAACTTGCAAAATGATGAAAAAACATGTTCATAATAGTATCTTCAATTAATTTATTCAACAATTCATATACAAGAAAGTTATGTATATCAGGACAAACCAAGAAAAAGCACAATCATGTTTTATCCGAAATTTTTCTCATTGTGATAATTGCTTTATCGACATTAAAGTTAAAATTTTGAAGTAATTATCTTGAAATTCACATAATCGAGCCTGTGTCCTATCACTGTTTGGGTTATTCTTTGGTCACAAGTGTCAGCTGGTGTTAATCCATTGTATATGAATTCGTGTCGAGATATTCAAATATGACACATCCCACTAGTGCTTTTAAAACTCTCACATTATTCACTTGCTTTTAATTATTTGTTTTAGGGTTCTTAACTAAATACACTTTATGGTGATAATAATCTCTTTTAAACTACAAAGCACGAGGGCTCTCTCAATTATAAGTGGGCGAGAGAGGGTTTAAAGTTTGGTTAGCTTACAGATTCTGTTTTCTCGTAAAGAACAAATAATATGAGAGCCACGAGCCAACATATCATGAATGGTTCAATCAAGAAGACGAATAGGGCAAAGACATGAGACCTACACGTGCATGTAACATACAAATATACCCAACTAACAACATGTAGTCACATGACATAGGTCCATAGAGTAGCACCACTAATACATGCATTCTTTCCCTTGTGTCCCACAAGAAACCATGTGTGGCCAACTGTTTTAACCTTCCTAAGAATCTTAGGCCCCACTGTTACCACACTTCCCTTTCCCCTAATGAAAATCACTTGAGAAAAACATGACCGTAGTGTACTTGCCTTCTTTTTCGCCAACTTTGTGTTTGTATTGGTGGCCAAGTTTGCTACTTAAATTATTATAGCACAGCATCATGCACATATACATTCCTTTTTACAGCCAAAACACAAAGCACTATCAAGGGCCTAAAACCGTCCACGTGCCTCCCACCCACCTTCACCTTAGGGGTTAAGCATCTCCCCATTTCCCCTTCTATAATACTTGTGTGGAGAGAACTGAAATTGAACTTGTTACCATAGTCTGCATAAGTTTTATGTGGTTTCATTTTCCTCCACTACACTACCACTCCCCCGCAGCAAGTAGCGACCCCTTTCACCACACACCACTTCAAGTAATTTTTTTCTGGTCTTTTCGTTATAATTATTGATCCTTTACAGATAGATAAGATCGGAAATAGGTATTAGATATAGACAGATTAGAGAAAAGACATGATCACTTCTTCTCAGCTTCCTAGGCCTTTCCTTCTATCAAACCACTCCCAGTCACCAATTTCCTTAGACCATCTCAAGGTTTGGGCTATAAGCAGCAATCTGATCCCCTTGCTATCCTTCAGATTGATTTCTCTTCTCACATCTCGATCAAAGGGATAAAATTTGTGAAATTTCCACCTTTCGCATCTAGTTGCATATAACCATTTTTTTTTCCTGGTTACTAGTGCATTCAGGGAGTTACTTTTAAGATATGGGTTTGAGTTCTAAGCAGGTTTCTAATAGAGAGCTTGTTTGGGACCAGACCTTTTTGCAGGCTCAAAACTTGGAGTTCCCTAAGCCTCCTCCTATGAGGAAGCAACAGCAACAAACTCAGTCACCGGAGCCTTTGAAGTGTCCAAGATGTGACTCCATTAACACCAAATTCTGTTACTACAACAACTACAACAAGTCGCAACCTCGCCATTTCTGCAGAGCTTGCAAGAGGCACTGGACTAAAGGTGGAACGCTGCGCAACGTTCCTGTTGGTGGTGGTAGGAAGAATAAGCGAGTCAAGAAATCAACCTCTCCAACCACAGCCACAGCTACAACCACCACCTCAAATGCCAATATGGATGGTGAGTTGAGTAACCATATCACAATTCCTCCCCTTGCAGTTGATGATCACAATACCAGACCTTCCTCTCTTTGCCATTCTTTGTGCCTGCCACAACAGAATCTGATAAGTAACAAAGTTTCAGAAGGCAAAGACTTTGGTATTAACAACGGCATCTTTCTGAGTTCAACTGTGCCTTTTCCTAAAAACCAAAGCCTTCTCTTCCCCTTCACAACCTCAAACTCTTTTGACACTAACACATGTGCAATATCTAACTCTTTGCAATCCTCCAGTACGTATAACTACGGTGAAGAGTTTAAAATAATGGAGGAGCCAACCGTCAACAGTATAATGCCCAGCACCAGTGGTGGCACCAGCACACAACCATGGGAGATAGCAGCAACAAGTTCTGGTTTGGAAATGTCAAACTATTGGAGTTGGGAGGACATTGATACGTTGGTCTCAACTGATCCAAATAATCCTTGGGATGACTCTGATATCAAACCCTGACAAGTGGAAATATATAAAGAAATAGTAACCCATGTTTATAGATTAGTTATTTGTGGTGTTTGTGTTTCATACGGAATAGAAAGTGTTCTTGTTTTCAGATTGATCATGTTATCCACTTGTTTTCACTTATAAGTCTTATAAGGAGAAGTATTTGGAGCTGTCTTATTTTAGTTTCAGCTTCAGTCTCAAGCAAGGGGTCCAATTAACTGTAACCCAATGAGTTTGTCTGTTCATCTCTCTATCATTTCCTGTAATAAAATGTCATTAGTGTATGCAAGTACCATTTTAGCACTATTCACAAGTATAGAGAAATTTGTTTGTTTTGTATTTCTTTTAAGAGATATTTTGAGAACCAAAAGTTTTACCATTTTTCAAACAATTCATTTTTATTAATATAATAATCTATAAAATAATTTAATAAAAATAAAGTAAAATTATTATTATAATATCACTTTTATTAATATAATAATCTATAAAATAATTTACTAAAAATAAAAATAAAATAAAACTATTATTATAATATTAAAAAAGAGTTATTTATAAGAATTATAAATTTAGGTTCTTCAAATTATCATTTTCCTTCTTTTAATGGTTTCTGAGTGCTTTGTGATGGGGATGACAATGGATATGGGGTCTGCTCCAGCACAGCTGAACTGACAGAATGTGATTGAAGATTCTTGTGGCTATGTCTATGTGCATATGTTGGAATGACAATATAAGATGGATTTGATTGGCCAAGATTCATCACCACCACTTGTTGAGAATCATTCTTTGCTTCTGGGCCATAAGGAATTCTGGTTGCAGAGTTGTTTATTGATAACATGATTTCTGTTACTATTATATACCTCAATATCGTCTATCTGTGGGCTTATACTTCACATGGTCTTCTCATATTTGTTCCTATTCAGTAGAGCAATGTGGGGTATCTTGGCCCACTGTATTTTCATTTCAAGGTTTGTTTTTGCTTGTCGTTTCTTCTATGATTGCATTGCCACGGATCAATAGTACGTAGAAACCTTTAATATATGAATTTTTGCCATTGTTTTTGAAGTCTAACCATTAAATTCAGATTAAACTTGGAGAATAATATCTGCTACTGCACAGGAACTTTTCATAAGTAACCTATATAGTGCACATGATTAAAGGCCACTCCCTCTCTTACAAGAGTTGTTTGTGGTTTTCTATTTCTTTACCTTTTTTGTTGGCAAAATATGGTGATTAAAATGTTACACAAGCAACTATATATAGTGTCAATGAATTATGTGTGAATCAGTATTATAGAAAATGTTGTTGACATTCCATGGGATGAATCAGAGGCTTGGGTTTTTGTTTCTAACTTAATGGATGTGTGTTATCCTATTTAGATGTACTATGACATTCCATAAATCTTTATTTTTGTTTTTCCAGAACTATCTCGTGAAATTACTCCGAGATTAAATTTAAAAGAGTATGTTAAAAATTAGATTGCTAATATTTTTTCACTTTCCGAGATTAAGGTTACTTTGTGATTAAGAAATTAATTGATTTGTGGTTTTAGTACGAGGAACGTGTTTTAAAAGGGAATGATAGTAGAAAATAATATTGAACCTGTGATTTATTTTATGTAATTAAAACTAAAATTTTCTTGGGAAATGATGGTTTCATATTAAGCTAGCAAGATTTTTCATGTACTCATTGTAGAGCATATGGTTTTGTTCACAGGCATGGTTGATTGGGCCTGTTACTCAATCAGTTCATGTTTGTCTAGGAGCTTGTTTGGTTGTCACCTGGAACAATTACTTGTAATTTTTTTAATCAAATTTATTACTATTAATAAACATTAAATGTTGTTTTTATTGTGCAAGAATGGTTTTCATTTCACTGTTTAAGTTTGTTTGTTAAACACTTTAAATATTAATACTGTTGTAATTTATAAATAAGCTGTATATATTTTAATTTTTTTATTAGAAAATAAATATATATTTTAATTCATCTTTATAAATTTGTATTAAAATCAACAACTTCCTGTTGAATATTTTAAAATCATTAAAAATGATAAAATGAAATCTAAATTATTTGAAACAAAATCAGTTATGGTTTGACATGAAAGAGTGTGAATGCAGGAATTATCCTCATTGAATCAATAATAACATTTTATTGTAATTGTTGGAGGTGACTCTTTTATATTGGTGAAAAGATGAACCCCTACAAAATTAGAAAATAAAAAATATTATTGATGTCTATTACTCCGTAAATTATGAAGTATTATTTGGAATACCAGTGGAAAGGACTCTTCGGAAATAACAACTAAAAATTATTTTAATAAGATTTTTAATATTTTAATGATGATTAATTATGGGTTACAAATAATTGGACATTTGATTCTACATAATTACATAAATTAAATTATTTTTAGATAAAAATATTTTTATTGCCCAGGAAAACAAGATCCCAATCATTAGACATATATATATATATATATATATATATATATATATATATATATATATATATATATATATTTATTTAAGTTACCACTACTTTAAATTATGATGAATTTTGGTTGTTCATTATTTATGTTTTAATCCTTTTTATGTTTTTCGTTAGGGTGATATTTTGATACCATGGTTGTGTTTTTAAGAACATTCACAGAAAATGATTGATCATGATATTAAAAGAGAAAACTTGTTATTTATACTCAATCTAAATAAAAATCTGATGTTATCTTATGTTTTATTTTTCTGGTTATTTTATATTTAAATAAACAAAAAATAGAACATTATATTTTATTACATAAATTAAGTTTAGAAGTTGAACATTGAATTTGTAGAAAGATTAGACAAAATTTCTTTAATAATATCTTCTATATTTCTTCATCTGAATGGGCGGATGGATGTTCTGGCAAGGAGATGTTAATTTTATGGCTGCCATCTAGGGATGGTAAAACGGGTTAGGTCTAACAGGTCGGCTCGTCATAATATGGCGGGGTGAGTTGGTGTTTTCAGCCCACCAGTCCGTTTTTGCCCATCCCGTCAAGCCCGTCAATCCGTCAGGCTAGCTCGCGATCTCGCTTAATTAATAAAAAAATAATTTTTTATTGTAATAAAATTAATTATAGAGATAATATATAAAGTTAAAATTTTTAAAAGAGAATTAAAAAAGTTTCACTCTCACATGAAATATTCTCCTTACTGAAACACAACCTTGTTTCTCTAGTTCTCCTTATTCATCCTAAACACTGATTATTTTTATCCTTATGACTTGAATTAAAGGTGTAAAAATTACTCAACCAAAAATAATGTGAAGTTTTATCAAATAAAAAAGATATAAGTATTTGAATTTTTCAATATAAAAAATATAAATTTTATAAATTTTAATGTTATTATATATATATATATATATATATATATATTTGTTATTATTTATTATTATATAAATTTAATTATTATTCTAAATTATAATTTTTTAAAATAATGTATTGATTTATATTATTAAATTAAAATAATATATATATTAAATAATTGACAAATAAATAATAATGGGTTGAGTCGGTCAACCTGCTCCTTGAAGGAGAGATGAAGGTCTACAACCCGACTATAATCCAGCTCGCCCCGTTTTTTACATACCAAATATAAAACGGAACATCCATTTTACGCCTCGTTGAAGAAGAGAATTTCATCAAAGGAAAATTTGTTGTAAACAATCTTGTTTCTAAACTCCATTCAAATAATATTTTATATTATTATTTAAATATTATTTTTATCTATTTATGATTATTATATTAAGATATGAAGTTGTGTATTGATGTTAGTTTGTGAAGTGTGACTAGTGAATGTGGTTGAGTCATCCCAGGTACATCATATGCACACATGTATGTATTTTACAAGTATTGTAGCAAGGATTTATTCACCACACATTATGGAACAAATATGTACATATCACGTGTGAATAACATAATAAGGAAAAGCAAATAGCAGACGAAGAATTTAAAATTGAAAACTAAAACTTCTGGTCATTCATATTAGAAATTACCAAAGTCATGTTCAACATCATGAATTTGTACACATTAATGGAACCAAACGAGAAAACTAGATGACCCTGAAGGTCTAAAAGCATAGAGTGACTCCCATCATATTAGGTTACTCCTTTAAAAGCACAGTTTTTCACTCTGATTAAATCAGCCAAGCTTGTTACTGGCCCCAAGTTGCCCAGTTAGCTTCACTTCCAACACGAGGCATCACCTGGATCTTTGATTGAGAATCGACATTGAAGTTGGCCCCACACATAACCCCCTCGCTATCAATTCGAGGCATTGCTTTCATCTTCCTTGTTGGATGTTGGAAGTTCATGAGACCATGTTCACTATGAAACATACACCCTGCAGTTCCAACCCCAGTTAAGCGTTAGAGTCACCCTTTGAAATGTAGGTACTCTTTCTATTACAAAACCTGATTTTGCAAAATGTAAAGAGAAATCAAATTTACATACCAGTTGGAAATGGTGCAAAGGATTTAGCACAACTTGCTTTTATAAGATCCAGATTTTCAGAAATTACTACCGAACCATCAGCTGCAATACCCCAGTAGAGCCCAATCTGGGCATTGGAACCCTGATCAAACATAAATAAGATGTGGGTAAGTCCAAAAGAAATGCATTCCTTTTGAATCCACAATGTAGAGGTGAAGGAAAGAGACTCACAGATGCAACAAAAACTGTTCCATTCTTGTTGTCATAGATCACAAATCCAAAACTGCCTTCAAGTTCTTTGAGGACTTGATCAGCAGGGTATGGACCCCTGTCTCGAAGTGTCCGATATGCTTCAATGATAAACATGGCCTCATTTGTTCCCTTTGACAGCCCATACTGCTTGTTCAGCTTGCTAAGGTTGTGCAAGCCACCCAGGAAAACACAGTATATGTTGTCCAAACCACTAAACAACCTGTCACACCATTCTCTTTTGTATTAGCAACAGAACTCAATAATCCCTAAACACATTGCTCCAACAATACATTCATTGACCAATCTGCCATTAAATTTGAAAAGGGAATCTACTCATCATAACCATAACTTCAACGCCATTCATATCTCAGGCAATTAAATTAACCATACCTGTGATGAGTAGAGGGGTTTTTTGAAGGGGAATAGGCTAGCAAAGCATCATTCCCAAAGCACATGGAAAAAGCATTGGAGGAATTGCAGGACATGAAATCCTTCACAACTTCATGGCTTAACTTAGGCTTAGTGCATGAATTCAAAGAAGCTGGACTGTTCAGCTCCTTGGGTGCATTAACCAACTTCTCCTTGAAAATTCCCAACATCTTTACCTTTGTCTATGAATTAACTTCAAACGACCACTCTTGTTTCCTTTTCTCCAAAAAGTGTACACACTGTCTCAAAGAAATGCACCAATATCAGTATGATACTTAACTGCAGAATGAACATGAAAAAACTATCAACTTTTGAACAATACTAAATGATCATCCATATGAGCAAATGTACTAAAACAATGTACAAAGTGGAGTCATACCAAAAATCAGGAATCAAAACAGCTGCAGATGAAGAATGAGATTTAGTGATGGCCTTTAAAAACGGTCAGTGAAGGTGATAGGAAGAATAAGTCATTCATGTTTAATATATATAGATGCGAATGCGATAGGAAGAGAGAAAGCGTGTGTGACGTGGTAATTCTATCCGAACAAAAAAGTAGATAAAGATGATAAGTAAATAACGGGTTACTCATCCTTACGTGTATGTACGATAACAGTTGTTTATAGTGATAGATTTCAGTCACTAATAAATATTCTCAAAAAGGGAAAAGAGAATTGTTTTAGAAAAGCAACAGAAATGGTCTTTGTGGCGTTGATTGGTTGGAAAGGCTTGACAAGAGACAGGGTTGTTGGGAATTGAATACCAGGGAATAGTTGAAATTTGGCAAATCTTATCCACATTCATATTTTAACATGACAATGATCTGACTCAGCTATTTCACATGCGTGTTCTGCCACCGGCCACAAACTCCAGGATTTAGATGTCAAAATATATTATTTTATTTTTATGTCATAAATTTTAACCCCATTTTTAAATAATATTGATGGATATAGACAGTAGTTCTACTGTTTCTTATTTAATTTTTCGTATTATTATTTTCAGTATGAAATCAAATGTCAGTCAATACATCTCATTGTCGATGTTATGATTAAAATATAATCAACTTTTAAATATTTTATTTATATTTATATTTTTAATTCATGAATATGATTCATTAGAATTTTAAAATTTTATTTTAGACTATTTTATTTATAAAATAATTAAAGTCTAGTATTATTATTTTGGTTAAAGATCGAATTCAGTTATTTTTATTTATATTGTTAATTATTCTTACCAGTATTATGTAAATTTAATTTTAAATTAGATGCACTGTATTTATGAAAAACAAAATTCACGTTACTGTAGTATAAGAGTTTTGGATTTAAATTTTACATTTTGACCTTTCTTCTCAAATTAATTGATACATAATAATTTATTTTAATAATCCTCCTTTAAAAGACTTATTCATTTTAGTATTTTTCATTTAAAATCTTTACAATATCTTTTTAATGTGATATCATGTAAATATTTTATTTTATCTTATTATTACATTAAATTATTTTTGTTTTTCTTCATTTTTTATAGTTCTTCAAAACACTTAAATTTTTCACTATCAATCAATGTTACATATATACTCATCATTAGAAGAATAACTAAAATATGATTTTCTCATCTTGTTGAACCTTTTAGTAGGAACTTGTAATAATTTAAGGACATCATCATTTACCATATCATGTTCGTCCTAAATATCATCAATCGAAACTTCTACTTTATCTTTAGCCTGTTGATCATTAACATCACAATGTTACTCATCATTTTAAGCATTAGTATTAATATTATCGTAAACACTAAACAGTAAACCACATCGGATTATCATAAATCGAATTATCATAAATGAAATTACTATCTTTATTGAGTGAACATTATCCACCTTGTTAACATCTTCAATGACTTAGTCTTCCATAAACTGCATATCACTGCTTCTAACTAGTCTCTTTTCCAACAAGATCATACAACTTGTAGTTTATTCTGAATATAGTCAATAAAAATACACTGTCTTACCTTTGTGTTTAACTTTAATTTTTTATTCTTTGGAACATAAACAAATGCGTTACAACCAAAAATACAAAAATGGTCATAGATAACATTCTTGTCAAACTAGATTTTGTTTGGTACCTTAATATCCAAAGCAACTACATGACTACAAGCAATGTCTCTCCCCAAAAATACTTAGGCAACTTTGCTTTAAAAAACATTTATTTAACTCTTTCAACCAAACTCTTATTCATCTTCTCAACTAGACCATTCAACTAAGGAATATTAGGATGGGTCTTTTCATGTATGATATCCTACTTCTTGTAATAGACATCAAATGATCTACGATATTCATCATCATTATTAGTACGAATACATTTTATCTTCTTGCCTCATTACCTCATAATTAAAACATGAAATTCTTTGAACTTTTCAAGTACTTAATTTTATACACCCATAGCTTTCCAGAACAATCATCAATAAAAGTAATAAAGTAACATGTACCATTAAATCAATTTTACCTTCAATAGGTCACAAATATTAGAATGTATCAATTCAAGTAACTCTAAATTCTTTGAAGGAGGATGCTTCTTGAATAATACTCTAGTTTGTCCACTAATCATGTAATGAAAATATTTTTCTAACTATGTATTCTTGAATCTCAAAAACATATCCTTTTTTATTAAGCAATTAAGTCATTTTTCACTTATATGACTAAACTTTCAGTGTCATAAAGATGTCTCCATATATATGACATTCACATTGTCTTTAACAACCAAAGCATTAGTCCAAATATATTTAGAATTTGTCTCCCCTCTAGTCAAGACCAAGTTACTTTTAGTGAGTTTTCATTTCTCAAAACCAAATTGATTGTCATAACCACGATCATCAAACAGATGCACAAATATCAGATTAAGATGCACATTTGGATCATGTTTGACTCTTTTAAGTAATAATTCTAATACCATATTTGTTTGCAAGCAAACATCATCAACGCCAATAACCTGGACATACCATCATTACTTATCTTCAACACTCCAAAATCACTAGAAGTGTAAGATGTGACAAACATCTTTCCCTATGTTACATGCAGTATAACACCACTATCAAGTACCCACATGCTTTCACCATATACAAAGATTGATAAACTCATAATCACGAAAAAGAACAAGATCACCACATGTAGTAGCAACACGATCATCATGATCATTCTTTTTCTACTTGTCTTTCTTGTCTTTGTTCTCCTTTTTTTCACTTAAAATAATATATTTAGCTAGATTTATTACAATAATGACATTTTACATTCTTGTATCTTATTTTAAATTTTCTCTTGGCTCTTCTCTCTGTGCCCCCTTTGGTTCCTTTTTTTTCACTTTTCCCCCTATTTTCAGTAACAAACACCTCATATTGAGATGAAGAAGCATGTGTCTTCCTTTTCGTCTTTTAAATAAGAGAACTACTCTTTATCATTTGAAAAGAAATAATATTTCCAAGGGTTGAGTTTGTAATTGAAACCAAAAATATCTTCTAAGACTCTCATTTAAATAATCTGAAATTGAAAAACTCTCCCTATACCTCAAATTCATCAAACAATTCAACAAATATTATTTATTATTATATAACTTAAAAAACATACACGTCTCAACATTCATCGTTTGTTTCACTTTTAATGAATGAGAGTGTGCATTCAATATGTAAAGAGGATTGAGACAGGGTGATCCGATGATACCCTTCTTATTCCTAATACTTGTTAATGGATCATAAGGGAAGCTATAAGAAAAATTAATTATAAGGATGAAATAAGAAGCACAATAATTGCATATCATTATCCAATATGCAAATGATACACTGGTTTATGTGAAACCAGAATTGAGGAATGTGATTGCTCTAAACAGCATCTTTCATCGTTATGAGTAGCTTCGGGTTTAAGAATCAATTTTCACAAGAGCAGTTTGGGTGGTTTGTGTGTTAATGAGCAAGGGATTGAGATATTCGTAAGGCTTTTTAAATTGTAAGACAAGGCACATAGATTGGAATACATGTGGGGGTGAACGTAATATTTTTTCAGAATCTAATATTTTCATCAACCTAATAAAGTTTTCCTATAACTAGAAAAGTTAAGTATAGAAAGATAATATGTAATCATCACCGTGTCACTGAGTGCATCAATCATCTATGATGTTGAGGTTCAAACTGGTAAGATTTATAAAAAGACATGGATAATGTTTTAGTTAGTAACTTTCCGGTCCATTAAGTTGGCTCGAAACGAGTCCGTGTTTATTCAATTCAATATAGTGTTATTCAATTGAATATTATGATGTACGTGAAGATGTTTTCTCGATTAAGGTTAAATTTATATAAAAAAAAACACTTTTTTATATTATGATTATCAAATCCAATATTCAAAGTTTATTATGGAAACTTATTTAACACCTAATTTTATATTTTGATTTTATATTTATATTTAGATTAATATGTTTTTTATCAATATTATTTTTAATTACCATATTTTTGTGCTTTTATTATAACCTATGAAAAGAATTAAAATTCCTTTAATAAAAATTAATTAAAGTTAGAAAACCTAAATTATAACATTTTTTTTAACTGATGAGAAACTTTTTTTTTTAATTTATGTTCTTTTGCAATCATCTCTTGTATTTTTTTTCTTAACCTTAATATGATATACACATAATAATTAATCATAATTTATGTTCCTTCCTCTGTCACAAACACTCGTCATTAACTATCTTGGTGTCTTCTTAAATATTTCATCATTTTATAATCTTTTACTTGTTCAATAATTTCAATTTTCTTATTCAAATTTGATAAATTGATACAATCTATCTCTTAAAAAAAATATATGATGACAACAAATTTTATCTATAAATATCGTCACGCTAAAAAAAAAATTAAAAAGAGAAGATAGTCTCCAAAATAGAAAAAAGAGAATGTGAGAAGAAAAAGAGCAAGAAAAGAGGTAAAAAAATGATGAAATTTTTTTAAATTTTGTTTATACGTATTTCTGTGAATTATATTTCATATGGATTTATATTTTATTTATGTATTCTATTTATATATAAGGTAAAAATATAATAAAATATTAAATCATATTAATATCTCAATTATAATTATATAAATTAAAATAATAATTTAATATCTTTTTTTTCTTTTAAAAATAATAAAAAATTTTAATACT